TTATGTAACCACTGTGAGCAACATGAAGGCTGGCGAACTGGGGTCACGTTCCAGCTGTGGTGGGGCGAGCTCAGAACCTACCCGCCCAGACAGGCAGACATCGGGCCGTTCACCACAACAATGCCCCCGCCCCCGGCACTCCATCGGCAACAGCTGACTGTCGACTGCGCTACGGGTCAATGAACTGATTGTTGACATCTACTCAACGCTGAATGCTAGATAGATAATTCTACAGTGTGTTAAGCGTGCGCGTTTACACCATTCAAATTGTTGATGGGTTGATGCAGTCTGGTTTATGATGCAAGGTGTCAGTTGACAACAATTTTTAATTTCTCAAATACCGACCTCAAAGCAAAATTTTTATTATTGTTAAAGTTTCAGAGTTTATATTTTTGTTATTCAAATTTCAAATGTTTATGTGTAAAATTGTTTCGTGTTAAATGTATTAAATGTAAATCAATGGGAAAATCAACAAAAAAATGTGTCGTATGAATGAAGCGTCTGTTGCCACGTCAAGCGTCGTCGCGCCGGGTCGAAATTGTCCCGGGATGGAAAAGGCCTTCGTGCGGACCTGAAGGTCGCTCGGGCCAATTTTTTTGGCAGGGGAGATTTCTGTGCCGATTTTCAAATCAAAAGATTTAAAATCCGCGACAGGCAATGGACAAGTCAGTCCAACATGACGTAACGCGGAAGGATACGAAGACCGTTGGGAACCGCGTCGTCTGCAAAGCGTCTCGTCGTCTCGTCACTCGTGGCTCAGTAATCGCGTAGTCAACATGTGAAGTCGCGTTTTGTCGCTGGTGTAGGACGAATTTATTAATATCTTAATTCGTAGCTCGGAAATTAGCGTTCGGGCGGAAATTGTACGTGCATCAAACGATCGCAATTGTCAAAATTTCGCCGAATTGCATTTGGGGGTGTGTTTTATTAGTATTAAGTCGAGACAGTTGAGATGCCGGATTGATTGTTCGCGTTCGTGATGAAAATTCGTACATGCATCATATCGATAGCAAATGTCAGTTTCTAGCGAATCGCGGGTCGTCGTGAAGGTATTTTCAATTGAATCATTAAACGCCAGCTCGAAAAAAAACAAGAATTAATAAGTCCTACACCAGAAAAAACCGTGTCGTGATGTTCCGCTCGGTCAGACAAAAAGTCACAAAACCACGAGTCAGTTTTTAAATGTTCGGTACGCGTGAATCTTCGTCGGAATGAATGTTAATGTGTCGACATGTGTACGTAAGTAAATGTTTGTGTTATTTGTGTTTTAGTATTAAAATAGTCTTGCCAATCTGCCACATTTTTTCACATGTACCACTCGTTTTACAAGTTATGAATCATGTTTTGTTTGGTCTGAGATTTTCATGTTTCATTTGGTCTACTTAGAGCACATGGTCACGATTCAGGATAAAATGTTTTATTAAATTTGGTCATGTCATACAAAGAATTAAGGTTATAATAGTGAACCTAGTCAAATGAAAATTATTTATTAAATTGAATTGAAATGGTATATTAATTTAAAGAGCAATGTTTGTCTGTGATATTATTATTTTTGTATTCTATGTAAAGTCAGATCCTATCATCATCAGTATTATTATTTAAAACGTTTGTATTTCATGTGTAGAATAATTTTTGAACAGTATTACATTTTTAATAGTGAGAGTTTGATTGTGTAACGTAAATGGGGGTAACAGAGTGCTCGGTCGAAGGCTAGGGTTGATAAAGGGTCATGAGGATAGACTCCCATTAAATTCATAAATATTAAATACTAAATAAAAATTATCAAATAATCGACTCAGCAGTCGATTGGCCCCGTTGCACTGATCAGCAAGGAGTGATGTAGATCACAAACCTACATAATAGTCCCTGTTTGATTAAATTGTAAACTGGCCAGTTTGATAATTACGAACATCTTTGGGGAGTCTGGTGATCCAAAACAAATAAATAAAATCATCAAGGCTAGGTTTTCCCGAGACTTTGTAGTTTTAAAAATGAACAAACCACCAATTTGAACATTCAATCTTACAATCAACTCTCTCACTCTCTCTTTCAAAATATTGTTAAATAGTACACAAAAGGTTATCACATAGTATAAATTTTTTAATTATTGTATCACAGCTCATTTGCAATTATCATCTCATTATATAGCATTTTTACAAATCACCATCTTTTCATTATCCTGTGTTTCAGCTGTTAGTATCATTAGTATAAAACTGGTAAATTAAAGAGGTAAATGGCTTAACTGGAAGAAGTATACAAAGTATACACAATGAGTGTTGATGATCACATTTTTTAATATCAAGTTGGTGAATTCATGAATAATCGGCTTAACCGAAATCCAGTGTATACAAACATCTTGAAGTCATACTTTGATAAATAGTTTCTGAACAAACAGTTTCATAAATATTTTCAATCAATATTTCAATATTATTATTTGCAATTTTACAGTTTTACAGAGTATCAATTCATGTCACAATCTTTCATCAGAACAGACATTTCAATTCATAGAGTGTTCAAATAAACACATCTATTAGTTTTAAGAAGTGTTAGAAATAAGCTGAAGAGGGTGTGAAGGAGGACAACATATCAGACCTCTCACGGTCCATAAATCGGACTTCTGGGATATTTAATTACAGGGCCCACACTTAACATCTTTATTTCCACTGCGCAGCTCTGTGATTGTAATGTCCTCAGTAGTTCAATTAAAATTAAATTAAATTCATTAAAATCCCACCAGGGGGCAACTTTTTGTTATACTCACACCTGTATGAAATACCTAAATTGTATTACATAAAGGTGTGAGGTGATTTTGATTGATGGAACGATCAGTTAAGTTAAGAGTATATTTTGAATATAAGTGAAGAAATTCTTTTTTTCTTTACACGTCAGGGTTGGGAACTCGGTCATCCCCTCTACATGATGTCACTATGTCCAGCGTTCGTGACGGCCTTTTCATGATTTAAATCAACGTATTTGGTATGACCAGGAAATATTACCCCACGTTAATTTTTGGCCCGTTACAAGTTGTTAACTTTTATAAGTTTTATATAAAGAAAATGGTTTTACCTTACGACAGCTAATTTTGGGTGATATCTGGTTCCCATGGCAACACAACCATTGATATTCCCAAAAAATAAATTACTAAATACGCAAAATAAGAAGCTAGATATAAACATCATAAAAGAAAAAAAAAAAAAAAAAACAAGCTAGACCTGTAAGTCGGATTTTGGGCCAGCAGCGGCCGGACGAATAACGCTCGTAAGTCTGCGCCAATGGGTTAATCAATTACGCTAATCAATGGGTTAATCAATCGAACGTCCGCGGCAAGTTCTGACTTGTAATTATATAATTATCTGCTTTGGTTTATGGACCATCTGAATTTTGTTTGATACATATTTTCTGGACCGTGAGTTTGAATAAGTAACGGTCAAAACGAGCTCTGGTTCTTTATAAATCGTTTTGTTCTATTTGTATTGTTTGAGTCTTAAATTGGTTCCGGTCACGCATGGTGGCTTTTCATTTAACTCATGTGTTTTGTTTTTCACGTAGGTCCTTGAGATATGGTATTACCTAAATTAAAATGTGGGTGTTTAGTTTTTAAGCAATGTTTATTGGAATTAGCAGTAATTTAGCCGTTAGATATTTGATTGATGGAGGTGAGAGTGAATAGTTGACTTATTAGTGTGAATTTAATGCTTTGTTGGCTTCTTACTAGCTAACATTCTTTCATTTGTTTCTATTTCAGAACTATACTAACCATTATACCTATTCATTTTCTTTTATACTAGAACCAGTGCACAGTAGTGATGTTCCAAGTAGTTGTTGTAGACTAGCATTAACTGAGGTGTTGAACTATGTAGTTAATATTATAATTAGATTAGACTTATGATTAGATTCTGCTACTAACACATTAACCTAGGAAACTGCGTCAAATCTTAGAACCACGCTTTGGGTAAGGCTTTGGATAAACGTATTGGCTTTGGGAATTTTACTTGGCAGTGGCATTAGACAGTTAATCCCCAAATTCTATTTCCATTCTTCACCATTTCCTTGGTTCCTGGACTGTTGTTATTTTAATGATCTGTGTGTTGTATGAGTTTTGTCTTTATCTATTAATTCGGGCACACCGGAAATAAGTTAATCATAAGTTAGTGATTAGTTAGAATTAATCTATTCCGGAAAAGCCGGTAATAAGTCTTCATGTTCTTAACCTGTGTGTGCGTTTCTTGTTTCTTACTCTTTCTGTTAACGATCCTTGTCCACTCTACTCTGTGTGTTCGTCTGCACCTTTCCCTATTCCTACTCTCTCACAGGGGTTTGAACTAATCCACTTGCCCCAAAAGAATTGTAACATTTTAAGTAGTAAAGACGCTCTCAAACTCTCCCTGCTCTATCCATGGAACATGGACGCAGGGAATAAATTAAACAAATGACAAACACTCCGCCAAGGAGGTTTTGAACGGAGTTTCGTAAGGAGCTATCCCAAACTTTGAAATTAAATCACATCCCTCCCTTTTCTCCAATCCTTTCCTGGGGATGATGAGGCACAAATAAAGCCAAGAGGCAAAACATTTCCGCCTGAGCCAGGACAAGCAGGAAACTCAATCAAAATAGACCTCTGGAGTAACCCAGCCCGGCTAGGCTATTGGGGACACGTAGCTCCCTGACCCGATAAAATAAACAAACACACCCAAAAGCGGGTTACAAAACTAACATTTTAAAATAAGTAGTCTAAAAACTGGATTAAAATCTGTAGGATATACATAAACATTCAAATTGATCATGATATTTTAGAACACAAATACATATCAATAAATAATTGTATCAATTGGACCTCACCGACAAGTTTTATAAACTTGGTGAGGCCAAGCTGTTGTAATTTTCAGAATAAATATATTTGTATTTGTATTTTGTATTTGTAAAAGAAGTATTTATCAAATGTTTCCAGCTTTAAGTATCACCTAGGACATAGTGATAGTAAACAATGAAGTAACACTTACTGTATGTTAGGTCACCAGCATCAAGCCTGCTCCTAATGTCATTGAGAATGTCCTCAATCAAGTCTCTTTCTGGAACCTGTGGCAATGAAGAGAAAAGGCACATTAGTTAACCCTTAACCGGGCATGCGGGGGTATGACCATAGACAAAAAGAAATAAATATATAGACTGTCAGCTGTGCTGCGGTTAGCGTATATTCCGGCGCCGACCGCGGGTCCGCGGAATTGGCTAACTCTGGAACTCGCTAACCCCATGTTAAACGCCCTATCTTCAAATTTGGTCGATGAGAGGAACTCGCTAACTTGTTCGGTTTCGGAATTGGCTAACTCCGGAACCCGCTAACCCGCTCTAGAGCCGGGTTAGCGAATTCCGTCCTCGTACGGAAGTCGCTAACTCGGTCCCTCGGCGGAACTCGCTAACTCCCAATCAGAAGCCTCGCGGGCCGTCCAATGGGAGCCAAGGACGAATATTTTTGGCCAGTGCTGCTGAAAGTGTAGTACCTATATCGTATCGGTACCATAATGTCGTATCCTACGATTAATTAGGAGTAAGAGCAACGTAGCGATAAAATATATTTGGAAGTATGTTTTAACATTATTCTTATGATTATTAGGGTGGAAAATGCATTATAGTCTTGCCATAGACTAACCAAAACAAGTAAACTTTACATCCCATTGTAAACTTTGAAGCTCGTTTTTCGTGTCTAGTTCATGTCCGGTGACACTGATCGCTAGTGTCGACAAAATTGTGTTTCTATTATTTGATAGTTAACTTCATGATTTGTTCTTTACTGTTTGGTTGTATAACTAGGGGACGTGTTATTAGATGTGATTAGAACGTTTTATTTGGTTAAACCATAGATAAAAAATACTCCTTGTGTTGGTTAGTCTATGGTTAAACGAAGTTTTTAATGACTGAAAACAAGAAACAATTGTATACAAAACACGACCTCTAAAGACAGTGCACCGGACAGAACTAACAATAAAACTGTCTTCAGCTGATCCATAAGGATGAGAAATCATACTAATATTATAAATGTGAAAGTTTGTGTGTTTGTTTGTTTGTTTGAAGTTCAATCACGCTTTAACTACTGGATGGATTGGGCTGAAATTTGGCATAATGATAGCTCACATTCCCGATTAACATATAAGCCTATTCTTATCTCAAAAGTCCTTCCGTACTCCGCCCCAGTGGCTCTATGGATCCCTATGTTAACCTTATGAGTATTCACATTTAAAAGGAATTAAAAAATTTAGTCAGCTGTTTCAACTAAACAAGTTGATTCTATGATATGCAATAGCATTAAAACGTTATAAGGTTTACCAACAGGGTACAACACGATTAGGCCATTTTTTGTTTGAATTTTTGACAATAGCTCATTGAACTAAGCAGCAACAAAAGCTGTGATACGCAATGAGAACTATCAAAGTAGGATTGTTTACAGTTATTTTTAGGCCTATATGACCATTTAATGAATCATTTGTGATATCGTGCAAAGGTTTGATGATTTGTTTTCTATTGTTTAGGTGCAGTAGTAGAGCATTATGGCTATGGTAAATGTGTTATACTATAGCATACCGTAAACTTCAAGAACCAAATTTTATCAAACTGTGTCGTCCCCCATTGCAAACACAAAGCTTGAGTATGACTGCAATAAACATTTTACACTTATATACCAACCCCGTACGAAGGACGGGTACTCTGCTAGTGTACTAATATAAGGGAGTATGTGTTATATGTGGGTTTCTTACTTAAATAGTAGTTTTTTGGTATGCAAAAAGATAAAAATGCACATTTAATTTGGATCTATTACATGTTATGAAATATCTATTTTCGTAGTCCGCCATTTGTTTCTTTTATTCGAATAAATACCATTTTGTGAACTTCTGCAAATAAAATTATTGAGTTCGCATTTTATATACTGGGCTTGTAACCTTGAATCATAAATCATAATACAATTTACACGTTAAACGTCATTACAGAATTACATTGTATTGGTAATGTATTTTTAAATAGAGCTATTGAATTTAAATAAATGTTTATCAATACATTATCAAGTGGTAGATGTATTCATGGATAGCATTAAAAATGAGTCTATGCATAAATACAACTTGCAAATTTCTTTTATCATAGGCTATTATCGTGTAGAACCCGGGTTATCCTCTTAATTTTGTTGAATTAATATTAATTTTACGTCTTTCAGTAGGCCTATTTTTTAAAAAAATAGAGTTTTTCTCCAGGCTGGTTCTAAATGGACCCAGGCGTTATTGTTTGTTACAATTCTTATGAATGGTGGCCATAGCTAAAATTACTTGATCTTATCCAAAAACAAAGCTATTGTCTATTGTGTAGCTCAGTACCGGTGAACGGTGAACCGAGCAATGGCTTGGTATCGTTTATATAGTTTGTGAAAGCAATAAAGGAAACCCAACACTCAAATCAGGAAAATCAGTCAATTCGTTTATTAAGAATCGTGAATTAAAATAACCCTGTCACGGTTTATTATATGAATATTATATCTTCTCCTATTTCTTACTAGTGGTGCTTAGGTGTAGGCCTACAATCTAAAAACGGTTTTAAAACATGTAACATTATTGCTAAAAAAATCAACACATTTTAGAATTAGGCAACTATTTACTAGTAGGCCTACAATGCTTTGGTTCAAGGCAGAGGATACACGTCCGGTAACCAGACGTGGATTAGACGTCCGGCAATTACTGTCATAACCTAACCTAACCAACCAAACTTGCTGATGATGAAAAAATCGAATTAAGGTTAAATTCTTTCTCTATTAAAAAATTATAAATGCCAAAAATTCTAATAAAAGATGTACAGTTAAGAAGAAATGGTATTCAATGCAAAATCTTCGACAAAAAGTTAAAGTCACCAATAGGTCTCGAACCCTGGACCTCTTGCATATCAGCCGAGCACCTTATCCACTACACCACAATCACCGATAGCTGGTCATGGTATTGTTGTAGTAAAGGCGTTCCAGGCTCCCGCAACCCCATGACGTCATTGCCGTACGCCTTATCCACGTCCAGTTACCGGACGCGTATCCTCTACGTTGGTTCAAACTATTAGGCCTAGATAAAAACTTAGTCTATGTCATCATATTTGTACACGTAAGTTGGACGGTTCAACGACGAACATTTGATTTTAAATCTATGAATTAGTTATGAAAGTTACGATAGTTGATGACTGTATTAATTAATGGGTTTGGTTTATTACGACATTACGATTAAATCTGTTTTCCGTGTTTGAGATCTTGCGTGTATTTTAGCTTAATTTCGTAGGGGTCTAATTATTTAGTACCAATTAAACTGAATTTTCATTATTTTTCATATTCTATTATTTTCTTTTGTACTGATGGCATTTATTTTTAAGATCGAAATCATAAACATTTAACTGGCCATTGTACAGTTAAATAAATAAACACTTTTTCATGATTTTTCAATTGTCTTTGAATTACTTTGAACTAGTTATCTGTTAAAAGTGGAATTGATAACAAAAAACAATAACATTTACTGTATTTTCATTGACACTGACATTTTGAAATACGGCAGTGTACGATTATTTTGTCGTACAAGGTTGGCAACGCTCCTGCAGTGGGCGCGGCTGGGTTAGCGACTTCCAGAGTTAGCGAATTCCGCCGCGAGACAAAATCGCGTTAGCGGGTTCCGGAGTTAGCCAATTCCTGACTGAGACGGTTAGCCAGTTCCAGAGTTAGCCAGTTCCGACACACGACCGAGTTAGTGAGTTCCTGAGTTAGCCAATTCCTACGTCTCCCGACCGCTAGGGGTAATGTGTAGTTACAGCGCACACTGCTGCAGCATCAAGCGCTAGCGACCGTTTCCATAACAACTGGGTAGTTGGGAGTAGTGTTGCCAACTTTGAAGGAATTCCCCGTAGTTGTAGTTTACTGACTTATTTAATATTAAGCAGTAAATTAATTTAAATGCCATAATTTATGGTATTTTTTTACATATATTTGTTATACTTTTGTAGTTTCATTACAATGATTCAAAGTTTTTCTTTATTAATCCATAATTTTAGGAAGTGGTTTATTGGAAGGTTTTGTTTTATATTTGCAAGGTAAAATCTAATTAACCAGGGTGTCTAGTAGTCGGGGAAAACGGGAAAGTCAGGTATTAGTATTGAATTTCAAAATTGTCTTGAAAAGTTGGGATTTAGTCTTTATTTGATATCAAAGTCGGGAAATTTAATGATTTTACCGCGATCGCGCTAGACAACGATCAAGTTTCCGTGACGGCGCAAGACGATAATGGTGTCTACACAACCGCGGGAGATGTTCTTAAACCGCGATCGTGCTAGACGACGTTTTCGTGACGGCGGCAAAAATTATCATGTCTTTCCTACAATCACGCAAAACGATAATGTCTACACGGCCGCTGAAGATGTTCACGAATTTGCCGCAATCGTGGACGACGATGACGTTTCGGGACCACGGCATTCAATGATGATGTCTGCACAGCCGCGGAGGATGTTCATGATTTTGACGCGATTGCAGAAGACGATAATAGCGATATAGTAAGCATTTCGTTTGCAAGAGTGGTAGTGCTGGTAACAGCTGGCGAGTAGTCAACGATGAAACCAAATAGAATACCGATAACCGATATCGAACGGCTATAACGCTCTAGCGGCAGATCGCAAAACCTTTCTTTGACAGTCTATATTTACTCTATTGTCTATGGTATGACATTTTTAACGTACGTTAATTTTGTAACAATTTTACAAGTATGGTGTACAAGTGGTGTATGGACCTGGTGAGCATAACAGTAGCTGCCTAAAATAGCATATGCTATCATCTGGCCACAGGGTTGTTAGTCTTGACCGAGTCATTGACGTGTTATCACCACCCTGGGTCTGGCGTACCCCCACGCGCATGCTGTGTTACCAGTAATGTGTTCATTAGGGGGTCTATAGTCCTCGCCACCCTAACTTGAGGCAGCCCAAGGCCGCACGCCGTATATCTAGTGCGGCTTTGGGCTGCCTCAAGTTAGGGTGGCGAGGACTATAGTGTACCCCCGCGCACGTAGGAGTGTCTCAGTTTTATT